TTAGAGAGCTTCTATTCATGATCAGCATCAATGTCAAAAGTGAATGATTTAACTTACCAGACCAGGTTTAAAAGGAGCTGTAAGTCGAGCTCATAATTCAGAGCTGTTACACTGGATCCTTTAATTATATACTGAATTTTTCACCTAAAACTTACATGGCTTTAGAGATTGATGGCCTGATAGAAAACATTTATCTTCCGGATGGCGTATTTAAATGTAGTCCAGAAAGCTGGAAAGTTTGATCTATGAAACAATTTGGTAATATTCCACTTGCCAAATGGTTAGAGGAACTGTGGTGGTAAAGCAGTGACCCCTTGTGCTCCTCTTAATGATGTAATGCTCACATGTTTTTAAAGCTCACAAAAATTATTGTGAAAGTAATAGTGCTGTGCAGTGTTGTGATCCTACCTTAGACATCTCTCTGAGGAATGCTGTTATGGGCAAAGGCACCTTTGTGTCTCTGACTCTTGTAGTCTGCTGTGTCATAACCATCACTATCCATCATCAGAAACAGATGAAACCCTTGAATGCCATCTTCTGATCATAGCTAAGAACATCCTTGTTTGTTAGACTTGTGTTTTTCACACAAGTTTGTAAGCAAGTGTCTTGTATGACTACTTGATCACTACTAGAAGAGATAACTTTGAACTTTGAACCATGTACTGTTTACTTGCTTGTAGCTATGTTTTTTGAGTGGTCCTGAGTTGAAATTTAACAAGATATAATGCGCAAGACATTCTGATCTCCAAAGTCAGACTGAGAGAATTAACTGAGAAAAAAAGATCTGAGAATCCATATATATTTTTTTTTCCAAAAACAATTCTATCTGTGCCCATTACTCAAGGGTATTTAGACTGGACCCAAGGAATATTTCTCTGAATATAGCACGTGTCTCTGATCACTGCAGCTTAATGGTAAGTTACTTCTCTGATAGATGGGCACAAGCTAGGGCTGCAAACTCAGTGGCCAGGACACTGCTAACAATAGTTGAAAAGTCAGCATAGGATAACATTCCTAATAATAAGTTTACTTTAAGATCATCTTCAGCTCCATAAAATGGCAGACTTGGTCCAGTTAATCATGAAGAAAATAAATAAAAATGATCTATCCAGCCTCAGGGAAAAAATGTATCCTATGGTACAGGATACACTGTGAACAGGAGCATAATATCCCACCTACACATCAGTTTTTTGGAAAAGTAGAAGGCCTTTGAAGAAGGTTGGAGATAACTAGTCTTGCCAGACTGGTTTTGTGCTTCAGAAGAAGGAATTAGTGAATTAGGAATCTAATTCCTTCAGAAGAAGGAATTAGAAGAAATAGTGTGTGGATTCAAGAGAGATTTATATAAGAAATGCAATTAAACATACTTTTTCTGTTCATGATCCTCCCCACAGTGTAGCAGTTTTATGTCCTCTTGATTTGTCCTCCTCCATGTTGAAGTGTGATAAAGTGTGAGGAATGATTTTTTTTCACAGCAGCCTTGCACACCGAGGCTGAATTTCAGAAACAGATACTGAACTCTGCTTCCTTCTGGATTCAGTTCTCTTTCTACTAATCAGTCTTTAGTGTTACCTCCTCCTGATTTTTTGTTTACTTCTACATGTTGGATTAAATTGGAAAATAATTCCTGAATTGTCTTGTGATGCTAACTTGAATCCTATTACAAACTTGCTTTTAAAGCAGCCTCAACTATTAAACGACAAAACAAACAAAAAAAAATCTTTCTTTTTAAAGGGGATGAACAACTGAAATGCCTGTGTGTGATCTGTATAGCAGCTAATCACTGATGTCTTCTGCAGCAGTGCATGCAAAAGCTTCTTGCCATTCTTCAATAAGTATTCAAACAGTCTAGTTTCAGAGAGCAGTGGCAAAAAGGAATCAGCATTTTTCTGTCCTTGAAGAGTGGTTGATAGTGATAAATTAATGCCTGAGGTAAGAGGTGCTATACATTATAAATCATATCACAATAAATAATCAAAAGAGCTTATTTGGATGGGAGGGATAAAATACATATGCAATATTATATGTCTAAAACTAGATATAGCCTGAGACAGTGCATTCTTACCCTCTTTATGTTAATATATTTAATGGAATGTACAGCAGGAAGCCTACCCAATACATAAGGGCATGGTCTCCATTTGATTTTCATTATCACAGAGGAATATAGAAGTTGCTTGCAGAAGAATGACTTCTGCATACAGGAGTCATTGTTTTACCTCTGGGTCATGATTTTCACCTACATCAGGAAGGATTTTTCTGTTAAACACACCCTGCTTATAACAAAGCAGGACTTCTAAACGCATGAGGCTTTGAGTTTGACAAGGAGAATTGGAACTGGCATGTCTTTTCAGCTCATCCTCCAAACCATGCTGCTGGACACATTATCTTTTTGTTCATGAATAATGGATTAATGATCTCAAATTATAGAATATGGAGGCAGTCAGCTGGTGTTGCTTTATTCTGCAAAGCAGAGACCTATCCTTTTCAGCCCACCTTACCTCTGTTCTTTTGATTAATGTCATCAGACCAGGACCATCAGATATCAAACACTATGTAGAGGGCAGTTCCTGACTGCAGCCAGAAATGCAGCAAGTTTCTCTACGGAAAAACTGGAACAGTATTGGTCAGGCTAGAAAGCCGAGATTAGGTGGGAAAGGTCTTACAAGGTAGTAAGTACCTTCAGTCTGGGGGAAATCCAACTTGGTGCTCTCTGTTTTTTCCAGAAGCTAGCAGTTCTTCCGGGAGTCTCACCTGTGCAGCCTAGGACTACGTGAACCCAATTATCCTGTCATGCAGCAAAAGCTTCCAGTTAAGATTTCTGGTAACGTGGTGTAGTACTGGTAATTTAGAAATGGAGAATGAAGACATGTTAATGAGAGAGTATTGTTACTGCGAGATTATTCTTCAGTCTCACAGTCTGTACCAGTTCTCAGTTATAGAAAAAAGCTTACAGTTTCTCTGAGGAATAGCAAGGTGTTTGGTATTTTCACAGTACCAATGAGGTGAAATACTGAACCCAAACTCGCTTGACAAAATGGTTGCTGCTGCAAAAGTTTCCTAATTGTGATACAGAGAAGCAGTATCCTACAAGAATGCAAAGATTCCTCCATGTATGTTACAAAGACACTCCCATACCACAGGAATGTGCCTGCTAGCCCTTGGCTAAATCATTTACTTACAGATTTATAAGGAAAAAGAAATGGCTAATACAACTGTGTTTGACCTCTTTATTTTATTAGCATATTTTATGTTCATACTTTACAATAAAATAAGTTATATATACAGCATTAAACAAGTTATTAGAAAGTAAGCTTTGGCAAGATCTACAGGATTTTTTTCATTCCTGCACATCTTTTGTGTAACAATAAAAATACTGTATACTAAATAAAATAATGTTAAATAGTCTGTATTCACGTTGGCACGATCGATTTCAAAACCCTATCTTTTCATGGCCCAATAAACATAGAAAAGAGGATTCTTGTATCTTCTTTATCTTGTATCTTCTAAATGATGTAAAGTATTAAATGACACACTCTAAGAGGCAGTCCACTGAATAACACTGTAGTTACACACTGGCACAAGAAAAATAGGTTCTTCACGGGTTTTTTTTCTTTCCCCTTTTTTTTTTATGCTAGTAGCAACAGTAAAAACTGCAGATTCAGGATCTTGAAAATCTTGAAGATTACTGAGTTGTCAGCAAATGTAGAAATCTTATTGAAGCCTGTTGAAGTCTGTATGAATTTGTCATTAATTTCAAGACGCCGAGAATTTCACTCCTAAATTCAATATCAGTCAACTAGTTAAATGTTCAAATAAATGCAGCTTGCTGCTTTGTTAAGAGTCCAAATTCTCACCAAATTTGGCATATGCAAATTAATGAGTGTTTTGCGATGCAATAGAAAGGGGGAAAGAATAATAATGGCAGGGATAGGTTTTATGTTGCTGTATGTACTTCCTCTGCTATACAAATCAAGTGCTGAAAAGATGCTAAATATAGATGTTACAAGGTGATACTAAATGTTCTGCACAATTATAATACTATAATAGGTAAGATCTAGTTACTAAGTGATGGAACATTGGTTGTTAAATTCAGGGTAATAGTTAATATTTTTAATAGCATTTTGTTCAGTCATGCACTTTGGAACTTAAGAAGTATTGCTCTGGAATTGACAGGTCTCTTAATTTAGTTATTGCACTCAGTGAAATCTGCCATCACTATTTTAGCTATAAATTAGGCAAATAGGCTTGGTAACAGATATTGACTTGTGGTCTGGATGAGTTTTAGAGAATTTTTAGCCATGAAAACCAGAGATTTAGTTAAAAGGAAAAAAGTTAGCTGATCTTTCGTTTTACACAAACTCACAATAATGCTTACCTTCCACATGAATTTGTTTTCACAGGTAGATTCTGTGCTTATGGTCTAGGCTTACAAGAGTATAGCATTTAAAAAACATTTTTCCTCTGCACTTCAAGTGTCTCTAAAGAAATCTGCTCTTTATGCTCATACTGTCACATGTGCACTGTTGTCTGAATTTCCTCTTCTTGGAATATAATTTGATATGTACATGTCACTACCTGAAAAGTACATTTTTCATGGTAGTGGACAAGGTGCATTTTTTTCTCGTTTGTTTGGAGTTTTGGTTTTATTTTTGTAATAGCAAAGAAGAAAAGAACTTGTTCTCAACTCACAAGGAGTGACTGACAAATTTTGCTGTCCACTTGCCTAATCAGCTTGTCCTCAGCAAGTCATCAGTTTGAATTTATAATTTCTGAAATGTCAGTATGGACCAAGAGTGCATTAACGTGCATTATGTACATTGTTTTGAAGCACTTCAATCTGTAAGTTATGCTGACTCTTTTTTCATACAGTATAGTTAGTAAATCTGAGGACGTACTTCTAGATTCAACAAACCCACAGTAAGTGTAGAAAATGAAATTGGTTGGAGCAGATAGAAATGTACGTGCCTCACGTGTATTAATTGACACTGTAGCTGTGGTACTGCTTCTGACTGTAACTATTAAACCATTACACCATTGAATGAAGTCCTAAGAGACAGGAATATTTTCAGAGAGCTATTCAATGCCTTTCTTGAAGGCCAGGCAGGAAGGGTATCAGCAGGGTTATTTGCCCTTATAATACAGACCGCAAAATGGATGTTTGTGTGTCCACTTGTTATCAGTAACTGGTTAATATAATAATTTTGTTTATTGACGTGTTTCATACCAAGGTTCTTGGGAGATTTCTGCTCTTATTTTTATAAATGTGCAACTTCACTTTTTTTTAGAAGTCAAAGAGAAGAGCTTCCCATTGGCTATCAGGAGCAATTATGTAGAAGAAACATCAGTGGTCTTTTGTCCATAGTCTTTGTGTGCTTGCCGAAATCGTGCATCTTTGGGGTGATGTAGAAGTGCAGGTCCCAGGCAGGCATGTCAGGATGTCCCTGCTGGTTCAGGAGCTGGCATTGCTTGCGCCCACTCCAGAATATCTGCACACAAGGATTCTACAGCATCCAACCGCTCAATTTGTACCAGTTTGGTTAGCAGTTCTGGGATACTGTAACCTGCCGTGCTGATGCGGTCAAACAGCTGCATGCCGTCTGTCATACCGCCTATCTCATCTCTCTTCAGTCCAAAGCTCTCGGCAAGGTGGCGCCACGTTTTCACTATGGCTTTTTCTGTGTTGTAGGTCGAGCTGAGCATTCGGCTGGTCTTCTCCAGGCAATCAAATGGCAGCTCTGTAGGGCTCAGACCTGTAAAGGGAGGTGTGTACTGTCAGGTGGGTCTGGGCACGAGTGTTGACATTGAAGTACTAGAGATTATACTGTTAGCAATGAATACAGCTAAAATCTTTAAGTGACAGTGCATGACAGGTATGTCTAGCTCCAAAGGTATTACTGTATATTATCAAATTAATTCTTCCTAGTGACAGCAGGGTACAATAATTAGGGTAAACAGTTGCCTGGGAAAGAAGTATTAGATGGCTTGTGTGAATTCCCATGACTCTGCCTCTTCCTTCAACAATTTACTAGCTGTTAGAAACAGTGTATTGTAACTGTATCCCTAGTGAGCAGCCCCATTAATACACCTCTGCACGTCAGGCGCAGTGTTTGAGCCTGAGAGACAGCTTTGACCCTTCTCCAGGACTGTCACCAGCAGCTGCTGAAACATGTCTGTAATTGAAAGTTGCCCTTGTGGGAAAGCCAGAAGTGAAATGAAGCAATGATACCAAATGCAAGCATAAAAGTCCCTGCAAGTGCTCCACTGTCATTACTGTCACTGAATCCCTAGAGAGGATTTAACATTCATTCTGTGGGGAAAAAGCTATTTTTTTCATGGACATATATTCTGTGTATCCATGGTCAGAGAACAGAGGAGAGAATCAGCTACAGCATTTTTCCGAAACCAGCTTTTTGCTTCTGTAGTTTTCCTGCTTCTTACTCAACAGCAGTAATTCGGTGGGAGACAGAGCTCACTGAACCACAGAATACTCATACATGTGCACATGAAGTGTGTGTGTGGTGGGAAGTAAATGCAGTCGTGTCTCCTGTTCTAGAGGGAATTTAATTTATGTTGCTTCTGCTAGAACAGTTCAGTCAAGTGCTAAACATGGTTAAAACACTTAAAACTTGGAAACTCCACTTTCTGTTGTGAGAGGTGGGACACCATTTAAAGAAGCAGAGTGTCTTACCCTCAGTCCTGACCCTCCCCAAATCACACTTCCATATTTGGAACTATTTTCTATCTGTTATCCAAAGAAGTAACTAAATAAATCAAACATGTTTCCTTTAGATGGGGAATGCAAAAGGGCTTCTTCACAACTTGGTCTGCGTGTGTGTCCCAACACAGCCCAACACAACTCTTCCTGCTCTCCATAGGAAGGAACCCTGTGCACATGACTGGAGACAAGTTGTGACATCCTCCAGCGCAAGACCAGGGCCTAGATAGCTCTGGGGTCAGGGCATCCTGGCAAGTACAAATCTGGCTACGGTGTCTTTTCTGGATTGGGACCATTTCCATAGAAAAGCAGAGGCCTTTCTTATAGCAAACACTTGTGATCTAATTTCATGCTGTTAATATAGGTGCAAGTTCTGTGCACTCACCTTCTGCAACGTCACATACGTTAGCATACACATCGAGTATCTTTTTCCTTCGACTTTGAATCTAAATGAGAAAAGTTTGATTTCATTAATTTTTCAGTCATAAGAGTAAACAGCTAGCAGACAGAAGTGGAAAATCTGTGGGACATGTTCATTTCATGGTGCTAGGGGTTATCCTCAAGGGTCCCTTTTGAAGACTCAAAAAAAATGACACAACCGTTATTCCATGAAGCATAAATGTACTTCTGATTTCACTTGCTACTGCTAGAGATCTTTCCAACTTCTAGTCTTTTTTGAGAGCAATTGCCTTTCTGCTTCAAGTGTTTGTTTATTTTATTTTGCTTTCAGACCAAAGCAAACTCCTGAGAATGAGGACAAATCCAGTTTCATGCATGCAGACAATTAATGCAGGGATGTCCAGGTAAACCAGGTCATGACTGGCTGCAGAGAACTAAATTCAGCCTGAAATTGCCTTCTTCCAGTGATCTAAGAGGACTCTAGAGGAGGAGATCTTCCTTTCTGTCATTTGACGTAGAACTACTTAGTTAATTACTAATTAACTATATTTTCTTTGATTATACATTGTCTTCATAAATCTGAAACATTTTAGAGATAGATTAAAAACAAATAAATCAGTGAATCTTTGAAAAGGAAAAATCTGAGGTCCAGGGTGCTCTAGTAATTTTTGACAAGAAAGAATCTCAGAATGAAAACCTGACATTTTTAAAGTCAAAAATGGACATTTTTATATAGTTTCATTTAGCAAAAGTCAGAGTTTGGCTTTGGATTCAATGTGAGTGAAAACAAATGTCAAAATGTCATGAGTTCGCAGGTACTGGAATTTTCTTCCCTGTGCCAGCTCTCATTAGGACTGAGATTTCTGAAAAGCTGTCTTTTTGACAGGACTCTAGCATTATCTCCACAAATTTGTCACTTTTCAGTGCAAACCAGGCTAGAAAAAAAAAAAGCTCTGCTTTCAGTATTTAGTTTTGTGGAAAGATTTTCCTCATTTTATTTGGGCTCTAAAGGGCCAGGCACATCAATGACTTGGATTAATAGACTTGCAGATGGAGACCATACTGCTGCTCCACCTGAAGCCTGTCATGTATTGCAGGGCAATGCAATCCAGACACTGACTGTTGTTCACATATTCATAGTTTAATTTACATGTGCTTAATAGGTCATGTTGCTATTGTAGGCTTGGATTAGCTGTTTTAGAACCCTGTAAACAGGAAATTTTCTTTTAATAGGATTTATTAAAACTCCTTCTAGGAAAACTATTGGATCCTTTTTTTCATTCTCCCCTCACTTTTAGGGTAAAGAGGGAGGTTAAGTAATTCCATGCCCATGAAGAATTGTGCAGGATGCTCTTTTTACCAGAGCCAGAAGACAGAGGATTTGTAAACCTTATGCTGAAAGTAAACAGGTGACATTTAGCCTGATGATCCTCTGTGTGGTAGCTATTCACAAATGGATTTTAACTAGGAAGAAGCAGACTTGGTTAACAGCAAGACTATTTTTATCCATGTCCAATGGCTACTGAATACTCTTTCCTGTGCTAGTCATGTTACTTAATCTCCAGCCTGAAGCAAATTACTGCTTTTCTAACTTATGGCAAGTGGCTTAATTGTGACATCTTAGGTATGGAGTGGAGGATCGTGACGCAATCTGCACTTTCATTGAAAAGTCTGTCTTCAGCCTTGTCAGCAGTCTTCAGTCTGTGAGAAGTATGTTTCTTCCAGAAGGTTTGGAAGAAGTAGTTCATGCTTCAGGTGTGCTTATGAGATATCTACCTAAATGACTCTGGAGAATGTGTCTAATATATATAGTCTTTAGAAGTTAAGATGCTTCTTATTAAATGTTCCGATTTCATGCCTGCCCAAGGTGTGTTGTCCTATTTCAAGCCAGCGCTTATGGCAGTATCATGAAGTTGGATATTTTTAGAGACCTCAGAAACCTGAATTTTAAAATTGGAGTAGGAAGTTATTTTCAGATGGTCATAACAGTTTACAACTACAAAACCATTTCGCTTGTGTTGAGACTTTGTGTCTGGACTAAGCTGAAAAGCGAGCTGGTTTAGAAATTTTGAGCTGAACCATCCCAACAATTTAAAACATGCAAACATGAAAAGAAGCATTTTCAAACTTCTTTATTCCTAAATGATATTGGATGTTTGATATTAATTATGCGATTTTGTACTAGGTATTGCCAGTTTTTGAAGTACTAAAAAGATGTCTGAGCACACACTTTCTTTTTAAGGACAGTTTCATGTTAACACAAACAGAAAAGTTGTGTGGGTGAGGTGTGGCCTTAACTATGCCTTAAAATACTCCAAGTGAGATAAAAAGCCCTGAGCAGTACACACTAAGCAGGAAGAAGCAAAGACAGGAAAACAAACAGTGGTTTACAGTGTCCTTCAGAGCAATGACCTTCAAAACATTTGTGTGTTTTTCAAAATTACGCATGAAAACCAAGCACAACACCGGATATTATTGAGAAGTCTGTGCTGTGGAAATACCAATGCAGCTGGGTCAAGGTACTCAGATGCTACACTGTCAGCTGAATCCAGCCATGGTGCTACATTATTTTATTGTCTGGGATCTTTCACAGTAAATGTAGCATTTGGGATAGTTTTATTAGCATTAGCCATAACACGGGGTTGCTGGTTTTGTTGTTTCTTTCTTTAGACTATAACATTTAATACACAGAGAAGTGGAGTTATTAGTCTGGTTGGAAATTTGGGTTTCATACCTGAACAATATATGTACATATATGTCACTGTGCAAAGATGATTCTATAAACAATTTGTCTGGAGAAGCTCTTGTAAATCAGTCTGATCTACACTACAATGCATTTGGGGAGGGTGATAGTTTGTATATTTTTTCCCTTCCAAAAAATATAGAAAAATGCTCTCAATTTTTAAATCTCAAAATAGCCTTACCCCAGTTGATTTATTGCTTGTAGAAGATTTATCTCTGGCCAAATGCACTAAAGATAATAAGCATCTCTCTGGAGTCCCTTGCTTGTCAACTGCAGCTTCTTCATCACTATCCATACTACGGCTTAAAAGTCGTTCATTCTCAGAAGATGCATCGTTTTCACTGTAAAATGAAGGATATGGTTATCTTAGTAAAGCCTATCATGGATTGACTCCGGCCATCTCCTTTTTGCTATCTGAGAGTTAACTGAATAAAAGTGTCTTCCATTTTTTAAAATGCCTTTCCTCTGAAATCCTGTTAAAGTAATGGCATTCACCAACCCAGGGTGTATGTACAGTGCCCACCAAGTAACACAGTCACACATAGCTTGCAATAATCCTTTTATAGAGGGATTTTCCAACTGAGAACAGTGTTTAGCCCACCATAATCGTGTTACCCGGGCAGGTTTGGCTGCCAGGCAAAGACAAGGTGAGGAAAACCACCACACTCTGCCATCCAGATGATGCCACAGAAAAGACCTGTTACAGCTGTTTTTACTTTTCCTGCCTAGAAGGGAAGGGGAACCTTATTAAGGCCATGTGAGTGAGAGCTGCACTCAGATCCCAGAAATGAACCTCTCAAAAGCTGAGATGGAGACCCAAGAGCTAATGAGTTGGTTACAGAGGGAGTGAGGAGGGCGCAGGTTTCTCTTTGGTGACATCTGCCGTTGTCCAAAAAACTGGAGAAGGAAAAGCCTGCTAAGGCACCTAGTCTTTTCCCTGCTGCAGCAACCTACCCATCAAGTTTGTTCTTTATGTGTTCCACTGTACCAGGATGGATGGTGACCATGTCCCTCCCCCACTTCAATTAAACTGGCAGTATGTTTATCTTTTACCCACCTTTTGACAGCCTTAGCTGGAGTTGCTGTAAGTTTTTCAAACTCTTCTTTCTCAGAGAATATCACAACATTATCTGTAGATAAATAATTAGAGAAATTTAAATAGGCAAGGAGTTTCCAAACCAGTGCTTTGTGTCAGGAGCTGGTTCTGCTGGCAACCTCACTGCAAACATAAATCTCTCTGCTACTTTTTAAGTGCTATCAGAGGATTAATTGACATTCTGGTAGTACGAAAAAACTATTATAGACAATTCTTTAGTAAACTGATGTGGGTTTTATACAATTCAAAGGAGAAATTGTAATTAAGAGAAATGTATTAAGAGTATTTAAGCCCAATGTTGTCTTGGATAGAAAAAGCACAACTAAAAAAATGTATACCTTGCACTTCTTTCTTCTCTTCTTGTGTGTTAGCCTGAGCTTCAACATTTTTTACTGAGTGGCTCTTGCAACAGGCTAGAATATAAAAATAAAACACTAATTATTCTCAGAAACTATCCAAAACCAGCATTTGCAGCTGAAATTTCACCTGCTGAACAATTACCTTGAGCAGAAGGTTTTGTTTTCACAATGTAAAACATGATGATGAGGACAATGGCAATAGCCATTATGAAGATGGTAGACATGGCAATTATAAGAGCTGTAGCCAGATGTCCTTGTCCTGAAAGATCTGCTGGAATAAATTAAATGAATACTTTCTTAAAGGAGCAACTCTTAGGATCAGAGAGTAGTTAATAGTTTGCAGTTTGCTCTCACACATATTTTGCATACTCGTTTAGTTGATCTGAGTCTTGGTTACTTATTAAGAATTGAAAAACTTAGTGTTGCATCTCAAAAGCAAACCAATTCACAGTTTTTCAATACTTTTATATTTATGCACTAGCCAGCTAGCAATGTTGATTAAAATATTTGATGGCATGATCCATCAGATACAACGTGTATGAAATTGTATTATCTGCTAATAACATAAAAGCTATAACTAATAACATAAAAGCTATACGTAAGCAAGAGTAGCAGCTTTTCTAACACTATTCTGGGAATCAGGATTGAAAAGACAAAAAAATAAGGTAAATATGCAAAGGGAATAAGAGCTAAAACAACTGTTGATAAGTGTGGCTGCCTCAAAAGCTCTGCAGTTAAAAGGAGAACACAATGCACATGTACAGGAACTGATGTTTTTCTAACAGATACTTTAAACACAGCACAGCTAGAAGGTGAATTTAAAATAAGCTATGTGAAAAGGTATTCAGAAATGGCACTTGGATGTGAAAGACTAGAATCGAAAAGCCACAAAAGGATGCAGAAAATTACAGATATGCTAAAATGCATGAAAACTACAATTTTCTGAAAACATGATCTTCACAACCAAGTTTTCAGACAATACCAATAAGATCAGCATTGTCAGTGCCTCGTTAACTGCATCTTTCTTGTTGTGTCTTTTCAGGTTCACATATTTTAAAAACCTAACAATCATGCTGGAGAACTGTTTATGTTAGCTCAATAAGAGACTGACCATATTTGTGCACTGAATTCTTGTCACCCTTCTAAGCTAAGGTTTTGATGAGGCAGTGTGCCATTTCTGTATAGCTACAAATAATGAGCTAAATTCACTGCTGGCATTACTGAGTACAATTCAAATCCATTTAATGTTCAGCTAACTAAAGCAGCAGTTTTGATTAACCAAGAAATAAAAGTGAATTCTGAATTATTTCTAACAGCAGTTTTAGAAGTCCAGAAATAGTGGCAATGAAAACCACAATAAATATTTTCAGATATTTGGTTGCACTTTGTTGATGCCTTTTTCAAAACAAACACATCCTAAATTAACTTTGTGAGTCCATTCCTACCTTTGTGAGCATGCTGGTAAGGTGAGAAAGTGCTTGTGCCCGAGGTGCTTGGAAAAATGGCTGAAATGCCAGAGTTAGACCCTGCACCTGCAATATAAACAGAAATGCCATAAACTTCCGTGGTTACTTTGTCCAGTCAAAAGAATATGTTGGCTCAAGTAAAAGGAGCTTTTCATTCGCTTGGTTGCATTCCCCATTTATTAGCAAAGAACCCATGAACTGGTCGTTTTTTGAAATGTCACTAATATCAATATGCATTACTGGCATGCTGAAAGTTGCCAATTGACTTTTTTGACTACATTTGACTACATTTTTGCATAGTGTCTAGAGAGAGTGGAAGAAATCAAAGATCCTGAACAGCTAGGAACTGAGAATACACCCAAGCATCTTCAGACACAGGCAGGGCCAACCATTATAAATAGATTCCCATGTTATAGATCTGTCCTGGGTATCAGAAAGTTTTCCAGATCCAGCTGATGATTCAAACCATTTACAACCCCCTGCTCCATTATTTGCAACTGCAGACTCTGAGACTCAGCTCAGAGTCAGCTCATGTAGATTCATCAGACTAGTGCTTCTCACAAGCATCCGTCATTAGCAGCATCATTGTGAAGCTGTGATAGTATACAAACCCTTGTGACCCCACAGGAAAACCAAGCAAAGGTGACAATTAGCAGTGTTGAATGCTTTTCTGTTCCATGGAGATGTACTGTCACAAAAGGAAGTATTAAAATTTCCTGTAATGTAACCGGGCAGTATGTTTCTTGTGATTGTCACTGTCAGTCCAAATATATATTCTGAGGAGAGGGAAAATCCACTAAAACAGTAAAGTGAAGAACTTATAAGAATACTTTATACTGGCAGATGGGTGAGATTGTCCAATTGGGGTTTTCATGTCTAAATTCTACAATTAAGGTTAAAAGTTAATTTTTCAGTTGGTGTCATAAGCCAAGTTTTCAAAGCATTAAACCAAGTCATAAATTAACATATTTTGACAATATCAGACCATACTGCATATTATTTGGAATAAGTCTTTCACATAGAATGGTGGTGGCATAGTATTCCAAATTAGAACACAAATATTAGGGTTGGGGATAAACATTCTCTTAATTCTCAAATAAACTTTAATGCCACTGCTAAGCAGGTAATGCAAACAGATGCTGTCAACAGACACTGAAAAACATTTTCTGTCTTGGAAGGGGTATGAAATCCCTCCTGCTTTATATTAGCTGTCTATGGAAAAAAGTACAGTGATAATTATATTCAGCAGACTTAAAGGCAAAAAATTGTCCCAGTCATCTGGTAAGATGTGCACAGCACATGGCTTCACAAGCTAATTTGGGAACTAGAGTAGATGAGAGCTCACTGTGCCATTCTTTTGACCAAGTAAATATTTGAAGAAACCAAATCCTCCAGGTAAACTTGACAGGAAATTAAGTGCTCTGGAATGGTCTGAGAAATGTTCCATGGTTAAGAACAAAGCAATATACATATTCTTCAAATTAAGAGAAACGGCTTTTTAGAAAAGAAAAAAAAGTATTACCCAACATAAAACATGGCTGCATGTAGTGAATGAGAAATGTACACTTAAAGTGGCCACAAAGTATGACTTGCAGATGTCTTCAAAAGAAATTTTCTCTAACAATGATAAAACTTCTTTCAAACATCATTTGTTGGAAGGAAATGGATTAATTTATTATAACTGGGATTTTTTCAAACTGAATAAGTGTTTTCAGAAAGTTTTAAATATACTACTTTATTAATGCAGATGCTTTTCATATTATGCAAATGACAGCCAGATTACATAAGTCTTCCCTCTGGTCCTTTCTCTGTGACAGACTTCCTTCTAAGAAGAATTAGTTAGGAGCTCCAGGAACTGCAATGTAGCAGTAGACCATCTAGGGATCAATAAATGAAGATGTCATCTGCAGGTAGTGGATATTGAGGACAGGTAATTTGTAAAACTTTCAGCAATTCTTCACAAAACTGAAGTGAATCATCCTTGGTTGTGACCTCTGTGTTTACTCATCATGGCTGGACAACAGAGGAAATTTAGTAAATAGCTGGTGCTGTAGCCTGATACTTTCCTTCATGTCCACAGCTACCAGGCCTACGCCTGTTCTTGCATCCCCCCTGGCAAATCCAATTACAGCCAATTGTGATTCTGCGTGGTCCTTGCAAGCTGCAACAAGTCAACAATAGCTCCTCTTATGCTGTCTCTTGGTGAACACAGGCAAGCTGCACTGTCTGCCTGCAGTTTAGCCAACAAACTCCAGCTCATCTCCCCCATGAGGGAATTTTGTCAAACTTGCCTCTTTTTCCTTCACTTGAAGTATGTAGTCACTGAAGTATTTCTGCCTAATCAATCTTTTAGTCACTTGGTATTGTTAACCTTGTGCTTTCCATCCATCTTTGAAAGGAAGTAGAGCCTTTCAAGATGGGAAGTCACACAGTAGCACACAGAACAGGAATGGTAAGGAGGAAAGTCATCCATTCTTCATTCACTGTCATCGTCACACTTCACTCAGCTCTACCCCACATGTTGTCCATACCAGGCACACACATGCACACATACACACAAGCCTCGCCTGTGCACAAGAGTGAGCACCTTCAGCTCCTGAGCCTACGTGCAGAATTGTCTTTGCATGGGAACAGAGCCACCTCGTTTGTTCTGTAGTGCCTATCCTGGCAAAATCAAGGCTGGTGCTAGAATGTGATGGCCTTTTACATATGCCTAGGTGGGAGTTAGTCATTATGCATATTTTAGGCCTATTGTCAAATTTTGGCATATCCATTATGAGCCAAGATTTCTCTTTAGATGTGGCTTAGAATAAAGTGCCAATTTGCGCACCTGCATTGCAAGAGGAACCAAAAATGCCAGCTTCTGTGGAATTTTGGTTTATATCACTTTTGTGTAAGCAAAAAGAACTCATAGCAGCTGCTTTTTCCCAGTCCAGCACCACGCCATGACTGCAATGTCAGTTGTTTCTGTGCACGTCCAGTTTTGCATCCCAATCGCATTATTAATTCTGGTTCCAATATAGATGAAACATAATCTATAAAGACTTAGATACAGCTCAGACAGAGACATCCTAAAGTGCTACAGCACAACATATGGAAACAACTCTATTTAGAAAAAAAAAAAAAAAGACCAATGGCTGTAATATAGCTGTGCAAAAGAGTGGTTTATATTCCTGGACACCTATAAGTAATACTTAGGAATGTGAAGAAGACATTAGGAAAGAAGTTCATCATTGATGGTTGGTCAACTTTTGCATTATAAATGTTTTTATTCAAAAAATTCTGATTTAGTTGTAACTTTCTTGGAGTCTAAATACAGTTTCAATAAAAAAACCCTCCATACTTATTGTTTAAAAGAACAATTGAATCTGTATTCACATTTGAATTTGGGGGTTTAACTCAAAAGATATTTAATTTAAATTTCTATGCAGGGGCCTTTTGTCCTTATAGGTAACAAATGCTGGGCAATAAAATAATTTTTTGTCGTTGTTTCAATGAACCTTTCTGCTTTATGTAACAGACTATTAGAGTTGTTCTTGTACCTTGAGACAGACTTACAATGAGAAGTGACAAACAAAACTACTAGATTTGTGAGAGGAAGAGGAGGGCACAGGGAAAGGAGGTCTTACCAACATGCCCCCTTGCAAGTGTTTGTGAGTGAAAAAATCTGGTGCAGTAGGAGACCATATGTGCTCCTGACATAAGCTGCTGTAGGTATCAGCTTACTGGTCCATGCAAAGGACTGCTGCTCATAGTTAGCAACAGCTTTTTTAGTTTATTTAATACCTAATAACATATTATAAAAATCCCCAAAGTGTGTACAAAATGAACTATCAGAGTGATCTTCAAATAAACATTTAAAAAATCTGTATCTATATATGTATCTATTTCTTGCCATTGAGTGCAGCTTGCTTTCTCCTCATGCATCCCTCTTCTCACAGCCATGGTGCAGTTATGAATGGCACAGCTGACCTGTGAGTGCCATCATCGAGACTGTTTTATGGACATGAAGTAAGATAAAGCACACATGCAAATAAATAATTAGCAGCCTTAAATATGAGATGAAAAATAAATTATACTGAATTGAAATTCAATAAAGATGGAAAGTTTATGTTTTACAAAGTAGTTGAAAACTGAATTTTAACTAAGTCTAGTCATAACTAAAGAACTAGATATGTAGAAAGCAGAGGTCAGAATTTTCAAATTAATGTAAATCTGTATTCAGGTACTTACATGAAAGGTTTGTTTTCAAACTTAAGGAAACAGCACTTCAGATGGCATGCCTGTGCACTTGGAAAGTCATGGAAGCTAAAGCAGCTGTCAAAGCCAAGCTGCTTTCTGAGGTGCTTACATTATGACTTCGGTAACCAAATATAAACCAATCCTGAAAATATTGCAAATCACCAATAACAGAGCATATCCTGGGCAATGACTGCTCTTTATTTTACTGTCTTTGCAGGGTACATACAGAATACTATAAAATAAGTGACTCTACTATTTTCTGGAGCCACAGGTAGATTCTTCATTTAGTGTAGATAATTATTACACTAGGAAGAGCATGAAGTAAATTAATTCCTGAGATTTAAACTTCTAAAAAAGGTGATAAGAAAGTTCCCCCAGACTTTTATTTTCAATATGGTCAATCTCACTGTAAGCAACCAGAACACATAAAAGGAAATATTTTATGCTGTTGTGCTCTCTGTAATGTCTTTCATTGTTTTATTTCTCTCTCCTTTTATTTTGCCAGGGCAGAGAAGCAGTGACATTTATAGGCCATGTGGTCTTAGTCTGATGATCTGGATTCACCAGGAGCTGTAATCATTGCACAGTACTGGAAGGTCATAGGCACACACTACATGAACTAAGTCTATGTTCAGCAATTCCGTACTATCACCTATTTCTCTGTGCAACATGAAGGGGATAACTGCTCTTTAAACCTTACTATCATGACTTCACAGCATCAGAAGGAATGCTTCACAGCATCACCAGGAATCAAGCTTCCATTTCTCTGTTGTCCTGGTGGCCAGCCCATCTGTATGGGTGGTAGAAAGCTGCAGTTCTGCAGG